TAACATTGGTGCAACTTATTTAGTTGCTAATCCCATCATGCATGCTAGGACTAAACACATTGAACTAGATTATCACTTTGTTCGAGAACGTGTAGCTGCCAAGACCTTGTCTGTCACGTTTCTTTCTTCTAAAGATCAAGTTGCTGATGTCTTTACTAAACCTTTAGATGGACCTCGCTTTGAGTATCTTCGGTCAAGCCTCACTGTTTGCAGACTACTGTTCAGCTTGCGGGAGGCTGTTAGAACAAAGACATCAGCCCAACTACACTCAAAACGTGACCCAATATTAAGAGGCCCAGACTTGCTTCACTAAGGCCTTATTGTAATCTGCTCACTTACCATCCACTTGTATAGCACGTGACACTCATATTTTACTGTCGTTAAATACCACACTGTGTAGTCCTATTCAATTTATTCAATACAGTTTCTTTCAATGATATACCTTTTTTATCTTCTCTCCTTTATCTTCACAGTGGTCACTAAGCTCCTTCTCTTCGATTCTTTCCCCATGGCCGTTGGAAAAACCATTGCTCATCATCGTCTTCATGGTCGCAAATCTAGGATGCCCCGACCTCATATCATTCCTCCCAACCTCTAGTGGCATCCATCGAAGGTCAAACCCAATCTTGCGATCAGAACCCCATTCGACCTTTTGTGATAGAAACTCCTTCCTCCTTGATAAACCCTCATAACTCTGGCTACCATTGAGCGCTGCCCTTCCATCAATCTTCCCCGTTCAAAAATCGCTCTCCTTAGTTGATAAAATCGCTCCACCATATGCCCCAAGCCAAATCCCCACTAACTCACACACCCCACATAGAGCCTCGAGCTCACCAGACCTAAGCCGGAAAATAGATGTCGACGAACGAACACTCTTCCATGGAGAGACCTTGTGATGATGAGGGAAGGGGTTAAAAACCTAGTAGAGCCTCCTCTGCGAAAATGTACTAATGATAAGCTATATCAATACACTTATTACAAATAAAAATGATGCATTGAAGATAATGGTTGATCTATAGTGACTTCAATTTGATCAATGGAATGTGGTGCTGGCAAGGAGAGGGGGAAGAGAAAACTCCTGGATCGGATCGTAGTGGGAAAGAGAAGGAGGTAAGGTGATGGAAGAAAGAGGGCAAGGTCATTTTAGTCTTTTTAATTAAGATTTCATAATTTATATTTATGACCCGGTCTTTAACAGTAAATTTGTTTATTCAAGTACCAAGTATTTTGTTATTTTATATTCTTAAGGGTCTTGTTTTGCGATTTTCTCTCTTTAAAACTTAGGATAATGCTTGAAACAATAATTTTGGTACAATGGATGAAGGAAAGATGGCGCCCCCAAATAGGATGGGGAGTCAAATCTACGCATATCACTATCTTATCTCAAAAGAGCAACAACCTACATGATCTTGTCTGTGGTTATTCTTGTCGTTTTTTAAAATTCTAATTAATTAAAAAATAATTAATAATTCATATAAATAAATATATATAAAATGCCAAAACCTGTTGGCACGTAGCCAACAGCCCTCCCTTTTCTTGGGACCTCTTACATACCCCCTTTGCTTGGAACAAGGTTTCCCTCTCTCCTCCTTGATAGCGACCTTACCGCACCGGACACTGTAAAGAGTTAACAGCACTTTGATTCATTCATCTCTCTCTCTCTCTCTTTGTAATTTCCTTTTTCTATTATTCCCCTTTATTTTTTTAAGCAAAGATTTATCTTATTAGATACAATTTTATTCAAAATACTGCAGAGTACTAAATATAAACACTTCTTTTATGAAAATTCGAACTTTAATTCTTTATATTATAAAGTACAAGCTTCTTTTGTTATACCCAATCATCATAGATTATCTTTTTTTTTCCCTCTTAGATATTTGATTGTTGCCTTGTTCTTCTTTCAAATACCTGTTTTTTTTTTTTTGGGAAAGTAAGATGATTGGCAGATCTAGAAATCAATAAAGCAGGGGAAATTCTAAAACGAATTAAATTTTTTAAATAATAAAATCTTTTTCTCTTTAAGTTTGTCTCAATTATCATTTTGATCTCTAAAATTAATTTTTTATTAATTAAATTCCTAAAGTTTCATAACAATTTTCAAAATAAAATAGCTACTTTTACGGAAAATTAAATCACTAAATCTTCTCCACTCAAAAAAGGGTCATCGTGCCAAATCGCTTTCTGGTTTAGTGGTATAAAGGATATTCTTCTTCTTCTTCTTCTTTTAAATATAGGTATCATTCTACTAAAGACAAGTCTATTTTAGGTGCCATTGAGTATTAAATATGAGTCTCTCTTTGAGTGAAAATTTAAATCTTAATTTACCGCTCTGTGAAAAACTAATCTCTTTCATTAAATCTAACCACGTCAATAGTATATAAAGATATTTTATATGTGAGAAATTGTGGATAGATCCCATTTGTATGTGACCCAAAACTTGATGAATTACCTCACCACAAAAATGTAGTTTAAGAAAATACTATCTTTGATTCTTAATATAAAAATTAGATGATTAATTTAAGTAAATTTTGTCTTTCTAAAAATACATTGCCAATCATGTTTATTAGGTTATTAGGCAGAACTACTATTTGATGAAACATTAAACATATTCAACTACTATAAGAAATGTCTTGAGAAAAAAATAAATATGAGAGACAAAATAGATTAGTGTTTCATATTAAGATCAAATTAAATGTTAAACTAGCTCTTATATTAAAAATAGGATGTAGTATATAATTAATGATGGAGTTTATTTCAGACAGAATTAAAATTTAAGGTGGGTCGCTTGCTAGGTTTTAAATATTGAGGAAGTTATTTATAAATGGTTCAAAGTTAAAAATTGTGTAATATAACCTAATTAAAAAAATGTAATTAAATAATTTAATTTAATTTAATAATATGGCTGAATCTTTGGACGGATACCGTGGAAGATAAGAACAAAAACAGTGATTGGGCCTTGTTTAGTTCCGTCTAGTCCAAGGCAAGCACATATGTTAAAGTTACTATTATAATTATTATTATTTATTATAATTATTATTGTTGTTGTTGTTAATAATTATCATGAACTTCACTTTGATTGATTTTTGAACCCTAACCAAGCTTTCTATTTCAACCATCTCATTTGTGGATTGACTTGTCTCCAAACTTTATCCTGTTTTATTACCGCCGTTGCTTTCATTTTCTCAATTACTTTCATCATTCCATTTCTTTATTAAGAAAATAGAATTAAAAAATTGGTCTTTCATCGCATCATTAAATCCATGTCACTTAATTGAATTGGTCCAAGAAGGAAAAATCCGGGTCACTTGAAAACTTTCACTATTATCCTTTATAATAATCCTACGACTCATTCAAAGTCTATACATCCTTTTGAAGTTTTATCACTACTTTATTTTTTCCTATTTTTTGTCAGATTATTGCTACTGTTGTTAAGTGTTAACCCCAGATTTATTAGTACTCTTCTGATCCCTAATATAAGACCTATTTAATTAATTTGATTAGATTAAAGAAGTTAGGTAAGTTAGTTAATTATAAAAAAATGTGACATATTTTTCCTCAAATACCATAATTATCTTTCTTAATACCTCATCTTCTTCTTCTGTTTAATTATAGTTGAGGGAGTATCCATAAGGATAATTTGAAAAAAATTAATAAATATAAAAAATAGATCTTATATTTAAAATCCAAACTAACTCAATAATTAAACCTTATATTAAGAACCAGAAATTAGATCTCAATCTATGGTATTAAAATCCAATCCAAATCAGTGTTATTTATCTGCCAATTAGTCTCCTGATTAATCCAGTGAAGAGTTTTGAACGAGATGATAGGATTAAATTTTATACTCTCTTTTTGCTCAGTCTGAAAATCATGTCATTTTGAGTTAAAAAAAACAAGGAAAATAACAGGATACTGAATGTGTTTACCCACCTTTTTCGGTTGGATAACATGAGGTATCTAGATGAATGTTCCACTACTTACAAGTTAATGTCCTTTTTTTTACGATTATTTTCAAATAGTATTTATATATTTGTAAATTGTTCAAAAATATCAACCAAAAAACAAAACTAAAGGCTAAATATATTACAACTAAAAAAATCTTTTCCTTTTATTTTTAATAGAGCCTACCTGTGCTTTTTAGATTTATAATTAAATATTATAATGTATTAATATTTTAAAAATAAACTACATAAATATAAAACTTGACATAATAAATATAAATAACCTAACATATATATTCTCTTTCGAAAAAGTCATAACGTTCTACGGAAAGATTTTTCCATCTCCAAAACTTGACTTTAAAGTTATTTAAGCATGACAATCATAAGTACTCTTCTTAGAATTAGGCATAAGATGTAGTATGTAAAAATATTCATACATAATTTAAAAAATAGTACTCATAAATGATGTAATTCCAAATTTCAAATTGAGTTAAAAAAACACAGAAAAAAAATACAGCTCCAGTGATTACCTTAAAAGTCGAGTTAGGTCTCAACATTTTACTAAAAAGATGTCTGCCTCCTAACAAACTTATTTTTTAAAATATTTTTTTAAAATCAAGATAAATTTTTTCGTATAGATCATAAAATCATATATTATAAATTTATTTTTAAAATTATAGCTTTAATTCCGTCCAAACATCTCAAAATCAAATATATACCATTATTCAAATGGCACCTACAGCCTTTTTGCAAATTTCTCACGAGTAAAATCTCGGCATCAAAATTCAAATCTTACAACTATAAACCAGCCTCCTAGTAATTAGATTAAGAGAGTATTTAAATAAAAATCAAACCATTCAAATTAAATCTCGGCAGCAGAATTCAAATCTTAAAATTATAAACCAACTTCTCACAGATTAAATTAACAAAATATTTAAATAAAAATCAAACCATAATATTAAGAATAATTTTATAGTACGTAAAATAAATATGTAAAAAATTTATCCCCGTCCATTACAAAAATTATTTTCAGAAACACACTTTAAAGGATTCCAAGCACCCCTACGTGTTGTTCTCCGGATAAACACGGATGGAAAAAAAAATCCACACGATGACAACACATGTACTGTGGCCGCGCACTCTGCTCTCCGCTCACCCTACAGCCAACCCTTTGGAACAATCCCCCCAAGCCCAAATCCTTCCCCACAAAATGCCAAACACGCCGCCGTTTTTGTCGTTTTTCTTTCACTTACCCTCACATTAATACCAGAGAACACAAATCAACTATAACTCCGATATTACAAAGTTTACATACTAGTAAATTAAAATATAAGTAGTCATAATAAAAAAAAACATATACTAGTTAGTTAAATAAACATAACCCCATCCATCATCAACTACAAGTCTACAACTATACAAAAGCTTCTTGGATACTTTCCAGGAGTCTCCCATAACAATGCTTGACTTGGGTCTCCTACATCTTCAAATAATTTTTTTCCCAGAATTAAAATAAAAAAGAAATTAGGATCATCTTAAGCTCTTAACCCATACCCATCACAATAAAAATAATTACATCCACAGCTTCCAAAATAAAATTAGCCAAAAAAAACAAATTTCTTCTTACCATTCCTCTCTCTGCTTCCGCCTCACTTTCTATCCACACGCAGCGCTGAGAAAATCAGAATAGTACCCACCCAAATAACACGACATGGATGAAAGAAATCAGAAACGCTATGCAAATGAGCCACGTGGCTTACTTCCGGTTCACTTCACCAGCTCCGAAACCCACCCCACATCCGGACCTCCGCCCGATGAACCCGGATCCGACCTGTCCAGCGAGTTCTCTTTGCTCAATCTCTCGAACATCTTTGCCCTTATGTTCTTTCCGGACTCGACCCGTTCCATCACCGGCTCCTCCGCACAGCTCTGATCCCAGAGATCAAAATAGCTGCCGCCGGCGCGAGTTGGCGCCTGTGTAGGGGTGGTGGGGAGGCTGCAGAATCCGGGACGGAGCATAGATCCTCTCGGAGACCCGAAGCAGGGAGACCCCAGAGGAACATTCCAAGAAGAGGATAAGGACAAAGACTTGGCCTTGCCAAGCTGCAAATTACGCAGAGAAGCCGCCATCTCATTGATGGAGCTCGTACAAACAGACCGGCTAGACTGTGCCATCGGAGACACAGGAGGAGACTCCGTCGGGGAGCTAGCAGAAGGTGAAATCGAAGACGGAGACGATATGAAAGGCAGAGTTTTAGCGCAGGAAGATTCAATCACCTGCCTGAACGGAGAGCCGTCGTATGAATCTACAGAGTTACCACTCCTTGGACTCTGCTGAGGCAGAATCCTCAGTTGCTCCGGCGTGTGAGCAAAAAAGCACACCCTTCTCCTGCAGCTCGTACCGTCCTTACACGGCTGCGTACGATAACGAAACGGGTGAAGCCAGCACTCAAATACTCCATGCGCGAACTCACAAGCATCGCCCTTCTTACAGCTCCCTTTGCGAAAATCAGGGCATGCAGTGCCGGAATAGTGATACTTCCTCGGGTCTCTCCGGCGAGCCTTCTCTCCCGGATGAGCATAAGGGCATTCCGTCCAGTCATGTGACCTGCCACGTGCGCACCTTCTCACCTTGAACTCGTACATACGGAAATGATCGCAGGAATAGGCATCGACAGGAGCATCGGAATCCCGACCCGCAACATCAGAGTCGGAGTCGATGTCGGCATCGTTGGATGGGAGATAACGCTGCAGCGCCGACAGGGCATCCTGTAGGTAAAACGGCGAGTAATCGCCGGTGCTGGCATTACCATCTGAGTCGACGGAGACACCACTGACCGGGTAAGGAGAACAGATATCAGAGGTCAAATCATCGAGGTGGAGGGGCCAAGGAGGAACGTTAACCGTTGGATTAGCGTGATGGGACTCACCGAGCATCATAGCTTTCGATTACTTTGGTGAATTTTTGGATGCTTACAGAAACTCCGGCATGGTTTGGGTCACTTATAAACTGCAAGGAGGAGGAGGTTATAACCGTGGTTAGGTTAGCCGATAACCGGGGTTAAATTAAAAACCAATGAACTACATTTATCACTGCGGTTAAAGTAAGGGAATTTCCATGGTCACGGTAACCATAAGTCACAGGTGGCGTCTTCGTTAGCCACGTGGCTTAAAAGATAAAGATCATCTTGCTGTGGGACCCATATGTCCACGCGGCCCCCTCCCACTGGATGGCTCACCACCACGCTGTGACCTGTGACCGCCTTGACGCCCCTGGTGTTTAGGAAGAGGGATGCGGCATCGGAGCGCGTGAAATGCCACGACAAATAAAAGTTTAGTCCTTATCAACCCATTGGCCATCAACGAAAATTAGTTCAGTGGATACAGGATAATTTTTTATTTTTTATTTTTTATTTTTTAAAAAAAATTCGGTCTCATCAGATTTTTCCCCCCTAAATATAGATTAGTACGTAAGAATATTTCTTTTATAAGATAAGCCTCTGATTAATATTATGCATGGGAAAATTATATTTAAAATATATATTTAATTAATTTAAACAATACATAATTCTAATTAGATATTACTGATTACTCAATATTACTTTCGGTCCTTAATATAAAACCTTATTTAACTTTTATTTTGATCCTAACTATAAGACCCTAATCTATTTTTTCTCTCAAATTTATCCATTTTTTCCAAGGAAGTCCTTCTAATAATAATAATTCTAGCTAATATACTTGATTCGTGATAATATTTTAGGAAAGACAACATATATTCATGACAAATAACTAATTTAACTTATTTTCTTAATCTCCTCAAATTAGTTAATTAGCTCTTATAATTAGGATCAAAAGTAGTATTATATAATTAAACTGAATGTAAAAATTTGATAAATCAACATAATAAAATAAAGTATTAATACAATATTTGGTCCTCAAGGTTGTTCTTTTTTCATCTTGATTTTGGTTTATCAAGTTTTTTTAATTTAAAACGTTAGTCTCTTAAAAGTTTAAAAAGGATTTATTATTGTGTTTAAAGGCTAATGATATTCGTTATTCGTATATAGTTCTAAGTTTAGAAAAAAAATCATATAATTTAGCCTAATAACAATGATTAATGAAAGTTGTAGATGGAGAATTAATATTGAGTTAATAATGAGCAGTAGTACAATTTAGTACTCTTCTCGTCCTAAATATAAGACCCTTATACTAGTGTGTATAAGGGTCTTGTATTTAGGACTATAATAGTACTACATTCAATCCTAATTATAAGAACTAGTTGACTAATTTGATGAGTTTAAAGAAATAAATTAAGTTAGTTATTTGTAATAAATAAGTGTTGTCTTTCCTAAAATACCTTTACCAATCAAGTTTATTAGCTAGAACTATCATTATTAGAAAGGTTACCTTGAAAAAAAATATAAATATAAGAGCAAAGTATATTAGGATTTTATAATTAGAATCAAAATAAAAATCAAACAAGATCTGAAATAATAGCACTCAATGTAACCCCTAGTTTTTTTAGTGGGAGGATGCGAAATTAAATTAAAATGGGGGAAGCCCATAGGGAAGGAAGAAAGTGGGAATAAAACCGATGGGCGAAGGATTTGTTTTGGAGGGTATAAGAACAACAGAAATTGGAACTTTAATGCAAGTGGATGAAGCACGTGCCTGGAAATATAACGCCTTGTTTCTTCTTTTCTGATAGTGCCAAACATGCCCCCCAGATTTATTACGCCCCAAACCCATCATCTTCCCTCATCCCCCACCTGCTAACTTTTAAACTACTCCATCTCATGCCAAATTTATCCTTAATTATAACACCTCACTGGCTAATTCATATGTAATAATAAAAACCGTTAAAAAAATTAAATTTGTTATATTATTTAAGTGATTTTAAATATCGTCCCTGTTAGCTACACTAAATTTTAGCATATTATATTAACTTTTATTTTCTCATTACTCTAATTAAATAAGAGCGTATGTGAAAAAAATATTTAATGCTCATTAAAATTATCAAAAAGTCTCAGAAATTATCAAAAAAAAAAATTTAGATGGACTCATATGATAAGGACCGAAGGGAGTAGTATATTCTGTCCTAAATATAGAAGCTGGACAAGAAATTTATTTCTTAAATATAAGACAATCCACTTCATCCCCTGATTTTATAAATTTTTCTCAGATATTTGTTATTGATTATACATAGTAAGGAAGTTCTGTCAAGAGATAATTGCAATACTCATGATTAAAAAAAGTATTGTAAGAAAGAAACTAACATGTATTTACTATAAATAATTAATTTAAATTACGTTTCTTAATATCTATAAATTAATTATCTGGCTTTTATATTAAGACCGGAAGGAGTAGAAAATTTTGTTTTAGACACAAATGTAAGACTTCACGAAATAACGAAATATCATGAGAAAATTGAAGTTAGAGAAAATCACAATGAAGTCTCCCGAAAAAATTGTAATTACCAAAAAATTCTATAGCAAGGACCAGCCTTGTTTGCCTCCCAAGTCGAATACGACCAAAGGTCTAATTAGAATACTACTGCAAGCTATGATACTTCTTCTTTGAAATGTTAGAGTGATTTTCTCTCTTAACTATTTCATTCGCTCGTCCCTCGTTTTCCAGCAGCTTCTTCTTCTTCTTTTAGTGCCAAACAAATTTATTACACACCAAACTGATCAGATTCTCTCATCCATTCCTACCCACTAACTTTTAAACAAAAACGGTATTTTTTATTATAAATATGAGTTAAATAATTAATTTAAAAATTTTAAAAATTAATTAAATTAGTTATTTGTAAGAAATATGTGTTTGCTTCTTTAAAATACCATACTTATAATTTGTATTAGAAATTATCCCATTAATAAAAGCCCTCTTTTAAAATATGAAGACATTTTTTACAAAAGTAAAATTAGCTAAAATATAAACCACTCAATAAATTTTTACATTTAGAACAGGAGTAGACCATTTTATTTATTTCACCCTAACAAATGGTGTTTTTTTACAGACCAAATCCATGAAAGATTACAGGAAAACGGTGAGAAAATTATTTCTTTTGGAATCTTTTGAGCGAAAAAAACTCCTTTTTTTCTAGGATACTTTCTAGACAGGAAAGAGGAAACTAATATTTTCTTGTAGTGCTTTTTTGCCAAAATTTTCATGTAGTGTTTATTAAGACTACAACAATTGAATGCCAAATTCGAATAATATTATACTCCTCTGATCCTAAATATAAAACCCTTATATTAATATAAATAAAGGCCTTATCTGAAAGAGTACTTATTTTATTTCTGTTTATTTTCATAAAATTTGAGTAGGATATCACAAAACGATGTAACTTGCCGGCTAGGACTAGGAGATGCTTGTGGTGTATTTTTAAAGTAACTGGCCCAGGAGGGAACTTAGAAATATTAATTATTAATTACAACTTGATTTGTGATTGATATGATTTGAGGATATATTGACTCTTTTTTTTTAGTTTGGAAGTATTATAATTTCGTGAGTGGCATTGGTTGAACAAAAAAATGTGTGGTGGGGTATAATATATGAGAAAAAAAGAGGAAAGAAACAAGGGCTGATGCAATGAAAGGAAATTTTACTGTAGCCTCCCTTGAAATTTTTTTTTTTGCTTAGAAAGAACTTAAATTGAGCAGTTTCTTCAAATATGTGTAATATATAATACTTTTTATATAATTAAAAATAAATTGCATGCAGCAATAAAATAATTGTGCCCGCTAAAGGTGAATTCCATGTGAATCTTTAAAATATGTTTGGTGGGGTTTAATGTGCAAAGAAAATAGAGGAAATTCAGCAAGCATAGCTCTTTTTTAATTCTGTACAATTTATCTTTAATTATATATAAATGTCTTTTCATCTTTTACTTGGTTAAAAACAGATTGTTCATAAGCACGGCTGAAGAAGAATTGTACTTATCGAAAATAAATTACTTTTGAGTTTTTAAATAACTTTTTTTGATGCTTTTGGACAATATGTATTTTAACGAAGGATTTTTTTTTAAAATAATTTTTTTAAATGAACGAACATACTCATAATTTTATTTTTTTTAGAGTGTTTATCATTTCATTTCACATCAATATCCCTCCAAATTGATGCCTCTCTCCCATCCATTACTTAACTTTCATGTCACTACTCTTCCCCCTTACCCCACGCTCCCTTATCGTTTCTGCTTCCCACCGTCAATATATAGCCTCCATTCTTGTGCCCAACTCTTTCTTCTTTAAATCAAATCACATCATTTCATTTCGTAAAATAATACTCTTCCGGGACCAAATTCTTGAGTTGGTTTTAGTCCCAAATATAAGAACCATTTCTCATATTTATCAATTTTCTCTAAATTACCCCTATGGATACTCCCTCAACCATAATCAAGTAGAAGAAGGAGAGGGGTATTAAGAAATATGATTATGGTGTTTTAGGAAAAATGTGTCACTTTTCTTATAATTAACTAACTTACCTAACTTCCTTAATCTAATCAAATTAGTTAAATGGGTTTTATATTAAGGACCGGAGGACTACTTATCGTCAACTAATTTAAATTTGAGCTACATCTAATTTCAATGAAATGAAACTAGTGAGACTCAAAATAATTAACTCATTTTTTTATTAATGTTTAGCCAGCCCCCTGATTCTTTTTTTTTTTTTTTTGTGGCCAAGCAAGCCCCCTGATTCCGAAGAATTTAGAGGAGCTTATAAAAATCCCATGCTAAATACAGTTTTTTTAATATTTTTTAATTCTATATACAAAAATAAGGCTCAATATAGTTAACTCATTTCTTGCTACCGTTATTTAGCACTGCAATTTGCATGGGCCCCACTTTTGTGAAATATCTGTGCGAGATAAGTAAGTGCAATTTAATGATGATTCGGGCAATTGTGATTTAAAAGGAGCCACACACATATATATTATATAGGGTTAAGGTGCAACTAGCACCCTCAAGTATTTTGTCAGGTGCACTCAGTGGC